CTCCCCCAGCAGCTTAAGGCAAAACAGGCCTACAAGTTGAAATTCCCGATTAACTTGACACAGCGCAATACCCTACAAGTTGGAATTCCCCAGTAGTTTGACACGCTGCAAAACCTGCAAATTCGAGTTCCCCTAATAGCTTTTGACGCAAGACGGGAAGCTTGAAATTGCACTCCTCCAATAGCTTGAGGCAAAACGAAACCGGGCTAATTGCAATTCCCCAATAGCTTGACTTTTCCCAAGCTTTGTTGCATTCCTACTGCGTTATTTTTTTTTGATCCTGTTTTTAATTTTTTTGACCTTTGTGGTTTATTTTTTTTGATCCTGATTTAATTTTTTTTTGATCCCTCACCCCTCTGTCAGTGAGTCGGTTTTTTGGTTGGAGCAACAAGTCAAGACTAGACGACACATGAGCATCCAACTAACCAAGGTAACCATCCAGGAAGACAATGCCGGAGGAAGTTGTTGCAGCATGTTTACTCCCTATAGGAGTGTGCCGAAGCGCATAATACATTACCATCAAGAAAGATAGGAGAACAAGAAGGGATCTCATGAAAAAGGAATAGCCTAACAAATCTAGCCTAGGCCCTGGAAGAATCATTGCTTGCATGCACTTGAGCTGCCGCAGTAGCATTGCCCCGTGGAGCGGACACAGTATTGCCAGGTAGAAGCCAATCAAGAGGAACTGCTTCGCCAGCTGGCGCGGCAGAGAGCTGACCTGAATGCAAAGGCGTGGCCTGGGCGGATAGTCCCTTGTCACGGCTCGCACATGTCGTGCAATGGGTGCAGGATGATGCAGGCTCCACAGCCCTTGCAGCTGCCATGACACGCCGTCTGCCCCTTGAAATGCTTCGAGCAATGTGCAGACCTAGCAAGTTCGCCGGCTCCGAGGAACAGGACTTGTGGAACTGGTGCAGTGTCTCGCGGACGGACGGTGTGACCTGGATATGCCTGGGCCCCACTGGACAACGTGTCAAGTTTGCGTTAGAGTGCGAACTCCTTGGGGTAAGGCCTTATGCGACTCGCAAGAAGCATATGTCGGCACTGGCATGTGCGGCCGAAACGGGAAACATGGAGGCACGGATTGGATCACTGCGAAGACGTAATTAGAGCTCTTTGGAAACGTCCCGTGTCGTGTTGCAGCCCGACGAGGTTGTGGAGTTGCTAGTCATGTGCCGAGCAGCGGTTGATGGAAGCTTTGATGCGACCAGCACAACTTCGATGCCTTCGCCAAGTCCATTGACAGCTGCAGCAATCGCTGAGCGATGGCCGGTGGTGCGGCGGCTGGTCGAACTGCGGGCCTCCCTTAGTGACACAGATGGTGGGAGCCGTGCCATTTTCCAAGCAGTGAAGGCAGGTGAGCGAGACTTGGTGGCATTCCTGTGCTTGCAGAAGGCCTCACCCAATGCCCTGGGACCTCTGGAAAATCCCAGTGGAGACGGCGGCAGTTGCGCCGTGGCAGCAGCAGCAGCAGCAGCAGCGGGGCAGACGACCATGCTCCAAACTTTGGCCACGGCGCGCGCCGATCTGGACCGGTGGTCTTGTCTCATTCCTGCCCGTCTCAAGCCAAGACGTAGAGTCTAGTAGACCTTCAGGCTTTTGCAACCAGGTTCTTTCAACCACTGCACTGCATCTCTAGCGGTTGAGGTTGTGGATGCTAGATCTTTGCGGGGACACGAGATCAGGGTTTTTGCATTGCTTCACTCCTCCCTGCATTCCGCTGCAACGCGGGTCTCTCGATTTCTATGCTCAAGCTTCGGACCTGCGAGTAGCAGATGCGTTGAACAGCATGCGAATGGACGGAAGAAGAGTCTGGCACCCGCATCGGCGGGCATCTGCCTTACTTGCGCTTCCGCTAGCTGGCTCCGCTCTGATTCACACCAGGCCGTGGCATGGCCACATACGATGCCCAAAGATTGCCCGGCATGTGCTGAGCCAGAGGCACCAAGTGCTGCAGGTGACGGATCCTGATGATCTCCGTGTCGCAATCTACAAGGGTCGCAGCGTGCGGAATGCCTCAGCATACGATGCCCAGATCAGAGCACTGGCGGAGGACTTTCTGCAGACCGGCTCCACAAGCATCTCGGCAGTGTTCCCCCGTAGGTGCTTTGGGTATGGCCTCCGTGCCCTGGCTGGGTGTGTGGGGCCTGTCTAATTGAAGGTGTGGCTATGTCTGACTTTTGTGCAAAAACTGCGGCACCCTGTTCTGTTGGCCTGGAGAATCGGAGAACCCTTTGACAGGCGGTTGTGCCAAGACTGATCGTGGCCAACAGAAGCGGCTGCAGCCCATCAAGAAGATGGGCCTTTTGGTAGATGTCCCCAGCCTGTGATCAGTGGGACCCAAGCAGTGGGTGCAAGGCTTCTTTGGATAGCTTGATAGTCGTCAGCTTTTCGTTTTTATTCTCGTGTATGTCTGATGCCTTCACACTAGGTGCATTACAGCTGGGACTGTCTGGGGCAACTGCGGGAGGCTCGCTCGGCTGGCTTTCCTGTACACGTCGCTTCTGTGCTTCTGCCGTTCCTGCGCCGATCTAGCAGCATCGGCCCATTGGGCGTAGGATCTTGTTGTTAGGATGCTTGCATATGTGCAAATCTGTGTGTACCACTTCACATGAGCCACTGCTTCAATGATGTGTGAATGTGTTTGTTTGATGCTGTAGGTTTTCTCATTCTCAGGCTTGATACCCCGGACGAGCTGTTGGCGCTAGCATCGGAAGTGGCACCGACAGTCTACGTCATGGAGCCGGAACTTCTTCTTCAAGGGTTCCAGCAGGACGTTCCATGGACAAAAGACATGGCAACAAGCAGTGTTATCACAACGAGATCTGTTTGGAGACGATACGAGGGTGGAGCGGCAAAAAGCACTTGTAGGTTTGCTGTCGTTTTTCCACCTTCCATATCGCTTTCCTTGCTGGACCCTCCGTACGTGATTCTGGATGGCTTGAATTCTGCCAGCAACGTTGGGCAGGTCCTCCGCACTGCATACCACCTAGGAATAACCTCAGTGGTGGCATCGCCAGAAACTTGGGGTTGCCTCAACGGGCGGGCATGCAGAGTTTCCATGGGCTGGATGTACCGGATGAAATTTCATGCCGCACGGCCATTGTCGAAAGCGATTCTCGAGCTGCAAGATCTGGGAACATGCGTCTATGCGGCAGAGAACCAATTCTCTGAGCCGGTTGCGCCACATGAGCCGCTGGGTGACAAGAGGTGGGCACTTGTGGTTGGCAGCGAAGGTTTGGGTGTTTCTGATGAAATCACTCAATTATGTGATCGACGAGTCTCTGTTCCACAGCAGCAGGGCCACTCGCTAAACGTAGCTCATGCGTGCTCTATCTGCTTGTATGAGCTGTCGAAGACAAGCTGGCCAATTCCAAGAAGTGAGCGAGACACACAGGCTGAAAATGCGTCCCCGACAGCTTAGCTCTGCCGAACCATGAACACCAACGTTCCCATGTACTCAGAGGTACTGTCCTTGTGTTTTTTTCCGGAAACCTTCCTAGAAATCATCACGAGACGAATTTGGAGCAATCGCGATTCTATGTGCTGCTACAGTGGAAGGTCCCTGCTGTCCCATAGTGCATTCTTTCAGGTTCTAGGACTAGGAGTCGAAAGTCAGATCAGCGGCATGAAAGGCGTTTTGGGAGAAGCTTTTGAACAATGTTTCAAAAGACTGTCAGCATCATAGTGTTGTTGTTGTTCGGGGCATTCATGATCAATGATGACAGTAGCGACGGAAAAGCTTTATCGAAAATGCAGCGACTGGAAGGACCTGAGTCCAGACAATGGTGCCTGCCACAGAATCCATGCATGGTGCACGGCATTCGCAGTCAGCTTCGATGCAGAGTTCAGGCTTGGCACCCCTGCTTGCCGCCGCGCTGAACAAGAGGCACTTGCGCAGAACTGCCCACTCCACCTGCAGTGCCCAAAGTTAATGTAAGGTGGGCCGCGCTCCAGCAGTTGCTTGAGCTGCGCCTGCTCCTCTTGTGCGTTCGTGTACTCAGGAAGATTTTTTGACTTTGAAGCCAGTGCTCCAGGTGCACAAACAGATGCTGCTGATCCACAAGGTCGCACGGCGTTGATTCTTGCCGCGAGTCAAGGCCCTCGACTTGGCCAAGTTTCGGTCAGAGCTCACCTGCTTAGAATGGAGGCCAGTCTCGGGCCGTGTCCAGTTTGATCGACTGCAGAGCCTCGTGAGCGGCTCAGAGCGCACTGACGCGGACTCCATGTCCGGTGGCACGACTTGCAAACAGGTTGGAGCTCCGGAGTGTCGATGGGCAAACGGCTTTGTTGGCAGCTGCTCGCCATCAGCACTGGATGGCCTTGCGTGCGGCCCAGCGATGTACAGCAGATCAGCGAAGTCCGTCGCTGCAGCGCAACTCCAGGAGGCGATTGGCTGAAGCCCTGGCAGACCCTAACGAGTCTCGGCTCGGTTCATCGTTGGTGCTTCCATTTTTTGTGGTGTTTTCAGTTCTTAATCATTAAGCAGCACCCAGTACTTCTCGCCGTTGCCTTGAGCTTCACCGTCAAGGGTTATTAGTGCAGCTTTCTGTGCAAAGCCGCTCTTCTCGCGTGGAACCTCCGTTGACAGAGGTGGTTGAGAACAAATCCGCCAAGCCGGTGATTCTGCGCGTTGCAGAGATGTCGCAGCTTACAGCTCAGAAACATGCTGATACTTCAGGCATCTGTCGTGGGCCTGCTGGCCGAGCCATGCAGGTGGGACACCTTGATCCACTTGGCGAGACATCGTGCAGATTTAGAGGCGGCAAGCAGCGAACCGACGCGACCGTCTCTTGGAGAGGCTAGCACGCGTACGTCATGCATTGTGCAAGGTTCGGGGACAAGGTGGTCGCAGAGTGTTGATGTTTGCCGCAGAGTGTGGCCTTGACGATGTTGCGTGGCCTGAGCCTTGAGCCGTCATGCCTTCTGTGCCCCTATTGACCGGAGCGTTGGTATGCGACAGGTGGCTGCTGCAGAGCCGTGCCAATCCCGATGCGCAAGATGACAAGGAGCCCAGGGAACCTGCAGCACCAGCACAGTCAGCACAGGATAGTACGGCGTGCAACAAGCTCCGAAAGAGAGTGCTTCGGACTTGAGTGTGGCAGGGAGAGACGGCTTTGCTGAAAGCTTGCAACCGCCAGTTCGTAGCTCAGCGGCCCATCCGTGACCATGATTGTGTGGCATTCATGGAATGTCCTTCTGATCGGTTGGCAGGTCGGAGGGACTAATGCGAATTCTTTGGGAGGGAGGCGCCAACATTGAGCGGCCCATCTCAGCTGGCTGACAGTGCTCCTTTCCAGCTAGAGCTGCCAGCTGCTAGAGTGCAGTGCGATGCTGAGGGTGGCGATCAAGAAATCTCGTATCCCTGCGCCACTTGCCTCACTCTTCAGTCAGTTGTTGTTTCTCTGCTTGGCGTTTCAACTTCGGCATCGGAACGAGTCAAGATCGGCCTCAGGATGTCGAGACTTCTGCAGCAGTGGAGCGGGCACGAGGAGGAGGATTGACTTAGCTGAGCTGCTTCTACCTAAAGATGATGCCCTTGCAACATCTGGAAGCCAGGCGGGGTTGTCTGTGCGGCCTCTCCAAACATCTTCGTTTGGGACCTTTTTCAGCTTGCTCTCGTGCTCGAGTGCAGGCGACGAACTTGGCCACGCTCATGCCACGCTGTGACCTGTGGCATCGTTTGGTCGAATCCCTGGTCTGGTCTGAGCTTCGCGCCGCAGCTACTCGCGACCTCAGATGAACTCCGAGTTCCCCGGGTGGAACCATGACAGGGTGCCATTGTGCTGTTGCTCGCTTGCCTCGTGGAGGATTTGATGCTCTTCGTTCCCGGGCTATCTGCGCAACCACTTGGAAAACAAGCAATTTGACCGGGCCAACTGAGGGCTGAGACAGCAGAGTAAGCAAGTTTGACCCCGGTGAAGCCTGCAAAGCCAAACGAACATTTTCGAGTCGAGATCGACTCGGGCCAACCTTTCTGCTTCTCCCACGGACCGGAGCAGGAAAACGGAGTGCACTGCCGAGTCGTGCTGCCGCATGCGTGGCTGGTGACCTCCTTGCACAGATGGCTTCCATGCCCCGGGGTCATCCTGCGAGGTGAACGCAGCCTTGCGTGGCCCTCGTGGCCCTTCCCCGCCGAGGCGTGGCAAAGCTTTTCTTCGCCTCAGTGGTGGTTTCATGCTTCTTTTGAGCCGCTGAAGCTTCTCCCGGCCAGGCTGGTCTGGTCCCAGGGGTCCCATGTTCCTCTTACAGGTCAAAGGCTGGTCCCAGAACCGGCAGCCAAGGTTTTTTGATGGTTCCATCTCTGAGTGACTGGAAAGGACCTACTCCACAAGGACGGCAAGCGGCGTGATAACGAGGCGCCAGCGATGCATTCAAGGTGACAACTTGCATCAGCCCAGCCAGTTCCCCGGCTTACTTCTGCCTTCTCGAGATTTTTCGCCAATCCGTCTGCTTGTTTCAGAAGTGCATGCTTGATGAATCTCATGGTGAACTGGTGGGTGGGGTCCTGTACAATTTCTGCTGCATGTGTTGCCGCAGTATCTTTGAACGCAGGGCTCCCGTGCAACTGGTGTCACACCACCCGCAGGCCACCATCAATATTTTCGCTGTTCGCAGTGACGAGGAGTATCCTTTCTCTCTCTTTTCAGGTTCCTCGCCTGTGCTTGCCCAACCAATCTGGCCAGCCAGTATGGGTGCAGCGTGCAGCAGTTGAACCGGGATTCTCAGGCCCAAGCATGGCATCAGTGCCGCCAGAGTTTCGCAGGAAGTTTGTCTCTACATTTCGTCAGAGTGTGGAGGTGTGCCGAGTCCCGTGAAGACCTTGAGCACGTCTTTTCCCCGAGCGAGGGATGGAAGCATGTTGCCGTTGCCAGCACGTCCTTGCACGCAGCTGGGCTGCCGAGGGACATGCTGAGCCGCTCTGTGCAAGTGGCGCCTTGACTGCAGTTCGCCAAAAGGAATCTGCGAATTGGAAGAAGAAGAAGTCCAGGCTGCGCATGATGCGAAACGTGTCATGCCTGCGGAGTATGTGGAGATTGTATTCCTGTGAGTTTTTCGGCCGAGGTGCCTTTGCAGGGCTCCTCTGTGCGATGCTAAGCCTCTGGCTATACCGGATGCTACTAGATTGATGGTTCAAGTTGGTTTCTATTTCTATGATAATGCATGTGAACGCGAGGTCGACCTTTCTGCCTCGAGGTCAGGGTGCCCCGCACATGCGGGTCTGTGTCGGGATGCCGTCGGGACACGGTGCTTTTGCAGTAGCACTGCATGGGCCATGGGCGTGGGATGTGGAGGTACCCTGCGCACGCTGTGGACACACTGAGCCGAACAGTGTCAGCCTGCAGGTACTGGTTCTGTCCTGTAACCTTGCAGCTATTTCGCTTTAGCATGCAGATTGCCACAGGCATGTGCCTGAGCATGGAAGCTTTCGGGCGGCGTCGCCGACTCGACTCGCGCTTGGCTGCTTGGCCAGTCCAAAGGCCGCCTTGCTCACTAAAACGTGTTAGCTTGCGACTGCGAGTGCCGACTCAGCTCGGTCAGGCAAAGCCAGCAATCTACCGGGCAGTGCAGCCGCCTTGGACTTTTCTATTCTTGTGCACTGCCACCTGAAGCAAGTCATGCCAATCGCGGCCAGAGGCCCGTGGAGCAGCGGCTCCCTTCTGAAGCATGCGTGTGGCATGGCCGCGATTCAGTCTCTGGCCTCTTGCTCTGCTGGAGCTGCCGTCGGAGCTGCCAGGTTTACGGGAGCCGTGCATCGACGAATGGCACCTCGCCGGACACGCTTGCTTTTTTCGAGACTGGCCAAGGGTCGGATTGGCGAAGCCACAGATGCAAGCCACAGCGAGAGCGAGGTGTCGCCTGGCCGTGCTGGCCCTGTCGCTGCGGGCACGCTGCCGCGTTCTCTGCTGAATGGATTACGTAAGGCCCGCAAGGCGCTTCTAAAACGTTTTTGGATGTCCTGACCCAAGGCCAGCGAAGGTCCAGTGAGCCTAGCCGAGTTGAGACGGAGTCTTTGCCACCGTCGAAAAGTGCGACTCCCTCGCGGAGCCTCGCGGAGCCTGGCCTTCCCCTCCTTCCATGGGAAATTGTTGTAACGTCGAGCAGCCAGCAGTTGTGGTGCAGATGCCAAGAGCTAGGAGCAGCTAGGTGCGACGATGCCCAAAACGAGCATCAATCCGCATTTGTCTGCTCAGTCGAAAAGGCTTTTTCTGGATCTTTGAGGGGACAAGGGACATCAAGGCACTATGTATGTCTATGGCAAGTGAATAGCCCAGTCTATGGCAAGTGACTAGCCTAGCAGGCCCAACGCATCTGTTGGATGAATGCGCTGCAGGCTCGAAACCCTTAGCCATGTAGTCAACCCCAAAACAGGCCGTGCACATCAGCCAGCATGGGATGCCATTCCGACATGACTGTCTTCACCCAGCATACCAGATGTAAATTATGTGATTGGACTTTCATGCTAGAACAGCTCCACTCCTCCTCCGCAGCATCATGGTGGACCAGATGACGACTTGGGTCGAAGGTCAGCGCCTTGGAGGGCTTCCCGAAACAGTTGTCAAGCACCCGATCCTTGGCGAAGACTACATCAGCGATCTGATGCATTACTGTTTCTGCCTTCGGAGGCGACTTCTGCAATTTCTCCCGGGAGTGCTGATGTGGAGATGGGTCGTGCAGCTGGCGATCTTATCGGACAAGATGCGGTTTGGTATGCCAAACCACCTTAGCTGCAGTTGCCTTCAGCATGGACCGTAGAACACGTTGATTACCCGGCCTTTAGGAGGATTGTATGCATGTGATGCTGGGCCTCACGTTGGACGGTTGACAGGATTTACGCAGAAGTGGCTTGTGGCGGCAACCTCGGACTTGGAATTGGGCCGATACGACATCGGTTTGCACAGCCTTGCCCTTCACTGCCGGGGAGGTGTGCATTCGCGTGGGATGAAATTTCATTTCCATAAGGCATGATTTTTGTTTAATGCTTGCGCCTGCAGCACGAGAAAGGAGAGAAAGGAAAGGGTTCCGAATCAATGTGTGTTGCCACCAGATTGCAGAACAAAGTCCCTGAATGAGCCATTTAGAGCCATCGAAGATGCACCCAAGCCGAACTCAAAGGTCTGGCTGCTTCTCCAGGCGCTGTCGTTCTCGGCTGAGGCCGCGGTTGGCATGCAGAAGCGCGCAGGGCTCTCCTATTTTTGCTTGACATTGGCTCGACGTAGTACCAGCACCATCAGTTCAAAGTGCCTTGGCGGGCTTTTCCTTCGGAGGCACAGGAGACTAGCATCGCAGACATCGGAAGCTACGGCCGCTGCCTGCTGCCTACGTGAGACTGCATATCTCTTTTTGGCATGGCTTTCTTTGAACAGTGTCGTGGGAAAATGCACCCTTCATTCAGCGAAGGTCCTATGAGCGTCTTCAACACCGGCAGAGCCAGAGAGCCTAGCATCGACGTCCGGCAGGAGCAACCCGTAGTCTTCGAACGTGAAACCCTGCATCCGGGACATCGACACTGAACACACTTTTGGACGAGGTCTGCGTCTGCAAGCTGCTTCCTGCCAGTTCAAGTGTCGAATCCTACGAATCACACCCGTCCGACGACTCGCTCGAATCATTTGGCGGTTTGATGCGGTGTGCGATGTCATGGTGGATCCTTGTAAGACCTCCGCCAACACGGGTGCATCTCAATAGCTCTGTCTTTCATCATGCATCTCCAGTTTCTCTGGGTCCAAGGCACCGCCACTTTGCAGGGCACCCAGCCGTGAGATGTTGTTCTGAGCCCTTTCTTCAAGCTGGCCCACATGGCTCCGCTCTTGCTAGGAGCTAGGATGCACTGCAGGATCCGTTGATTCACCAGGCTTACAGACACTGGCCTTGCAAGGACTCATTTGTCTGAACTGAATAATCTTCCTGGACTAAGGTGACACTACTAGCACAACCACCACCAGTTCTACCACATTCAGTCTGGCACTTGTGCACTTCACGTTTCTGTTGTTGATTGTCTGATGCCTTCCAGTTTCGGGTGGTCTGGGAGTCTCACCGTTGCAGTGCTCGAAAAAGGCATTGTGGGTCTTGACCCGAAAAGCTTCGGGAAATCGCTGAACCCAAGTTATTTGTTGACTGAGATGAAGATGGCGCTTGGCAAGATGAGATCTGGTAGATTTTCCAGTTTGGGCTTGAAGCTGGGAGCATGAGGCTCAAGCACTACAGTGTCTTCCACCACCTTTACCACAAGTTCATCCACGACGACAGAGACAACATCTTCGAGTTTCCCAGCAGCACTTATCGCTCAGAGTTGCCGATGACTCAGGTTTGCAGCGGAGATGCAAGGGATCGTTTGTCCCACCATGTCTTGCGAATCTGATTGCTTCTTTACAACACGGTGGGCTACTGGTTTGCCAAGCAGCTCAGCAGAGTGGTGTCGTCTGCTGCTGCTGCTGCGGTGGTGGTGGTGGTGGTGGTGGTGGTCGTAGGAGGAGGAGGAGGAGGCGGACCGCCACGAGTG